TAAACTTAAACTTAAACTTAAATCGATGAAACGGAGACTGCCTTGTCACTGAAAAGTTCCAAATTAAACTGTAAATCAAATGATCTTCCTTGTCTTGGTGTCATAATTGGGATTGGTCTAGCGCTTCTGTAAAAGCCACATCTGGCCAACAGACATCAGTACCTCCTTGCTAACACCTGCCGTTTCCCCTCACCCCCCCCCCCCCCCCCAGATGGAGACCTACGAGGATCACCCTTGGTGCTCCTACCCAAGTGGAGAAGAGGAGATGACAGATGAAGAGAAGCACCACCACGACCGGCAGCTGGCCAAGATCAGAGCCCGGAGTAACAGCCGTTCCCGACACCGATCCTCCTTCCTAGTGGACGAGCTCGACATGCTCATGGACAAGGCGGCCACCACCATCCAGGCTACGTGGCGAGGCCACCTCACCCGTAAGCAGATCATGACAGAGCAGGCCGCGGCCTCCACCATCCAGGCTGCTTGGAGGCGATACATCGCTCGCGAGTACCGTGCTCTGCAGCGGCAGGAGGTGCCTTCGCCACAAGTCTACCGGCGCCGAAGATCGTCCTCCGTCTCCTTTGAGGGGCGGAGAGAATCCAGGGGGTACTCCAGGATGGACAGGGAGAGAGCGGCCGTGATCATTCAGGCACACTATCGGGGCTACATGACTCGCCAGGCCCTCCACGAATGCCAGCGGGCAGCCACCACCATCCAAGCTCACTGGCGGGGATACCGTACCCGACGGGACTTGACCCAAGCAGGAAGGCACGCTTACCATCCTGGACACCCGCAGAGGACCTACTACAGTCCCCCAAGGTTTCCAAAGGGGACTTACTACGGCCATCCCAGCTACATGCCCGGGAGCTCCTCCTGGGTGGGCCCGTACCCCAGGAAACATTGGCGCAAATGCCTTGTGGGAGACCCCGAGGAGTGGGAAAGCAAGGTACCACGATCCCCGTCCTCCATGGTCCAGCGAGAGAAGACTGAGCCCTCCCAGCCCAAGACGTGTCCGCGCTGCGGGAGGTGCACTAGCATCCGTGTGCTGGTGGGCGTGGGCAAAGGGCCGCCATCGGAATCGGAAACAGAGGACAGTGAATGCGAAAGGCACGCAAGCGTCTCTCCGTCCAGAAGTGCCCAAAGGATGTCCTACACCTCCAGGCAGGAGGGACCGACGTACAGCCAGTCACGCCGTTACGGGCCCCGCTTCTCCTATCAGGCGCCTTCCAAAAGCTACCACGTGCCTGGGGAAGAGCAGATGCGGAGGCAGAGCCGAGAACCCGGCGTAGTCGTCAGTCAGCGCCTGGCCTCCAGCACACAAACCTCCGTACGGCTGACACGGGAGCGCACCAACACCCGGAGTCTCTCCTCCACCAGCGTCCAACCCCAGCAGCTGCAACAGCAAGGCATGCCTCCCCAGGGCACCTCCAACTGGTTGTACGAAAACTACGGGGCTCGCCGGATGGGCGAAGGGCAGAGGCGCGTGTTCAAAACCAGGAAGCAGATGTGGCAAGTGGTCCGCGCAGCCACCCTGATCCAGGCCTTCTGGCGGGGCTGGAGGGTCCGACAAACGTTGCGTCTCCAAGAAGAAGCGGCAATCAAGATCCAGTCTGCTTATCGGGGTTACCGAACCAGAGCTTACCTGATGGAGGTGGGAATAATCAGCGAAGGAGATACGGATTAAAACGTTTTTTTTGGGGGGGGAGGACTGGTCCTCTTGGAACGGGGGTGGGGGGGTGGGAGAGGAAGAGGGAGGCTCAAAGGAGAACCCCTCTTTCCACCTTTGTCTCCCGGCCTCCTCTAACAAGCAAGCTTGCAATTCTAATAAATTGAGCCTAATTATGAATGCTTCTCAGTTTTGTTTTCAGGGAGTCCCCGACCTCAGGGGTGGGTTTCAAATTTTTTTACTACCTGCCTCCATTTTTGCCCAAAACAGCCCCTCTCTGCAACCTCTCTGGGACTGGCATGCGCACNGGGCGATATGCTGACTCTGTAAACCGCTTAGAGAGGGCTGAAAGCCCTATGAAGCGGTATATAAGTCTAATAAATAAATAATAAATAAATAAATAGTGTATTTAGACTTTGGCAAGGCATTTGACAAAGTAGACCACAATCTACTTCCTGCTCAGATATAGTAAATAATAATAATAATAATAATGTGGGATAGACAGCATCACTACCCCATGGATTCGTAAGTGGCAGACAAATCGTAATCAACGAGTAGCCCTTAATGGTCCCACATCCACGTGGAGTGAAGAAAACAGTGGGGGTACCACAAGGTTCCATTCTAGGCCCAGGACTCTTCGATATTTCCAAAAATGACTCAGATGAGGGAATAGGAGGAGAACTCATCAAATTTGCAGATGGTACTAAACTGGCAGGAATAGCCAACACCCCAGAGGGCAGACGCAGGATCCAAAAAGTTCTTGGCGGACTTGAACAATGGGCCCCACACAACAAAAGGAAATTTAATGTGGAGAAAAGCAAAGTTTTATACCTGGGCAGAAAAACCCAGAGACAGAAGTACAGGTTAGGTGAAACCTGGCTCCAGAACAGGAACTGTGAGAGGATCTTGGAGATAACATCATCAATTCTGGAAGGGAGGAGGGTTTGGGAGAGGAGGAGAAGCGGAGGGGGGGAGGAGGAGTGTGGGGTCCCTGGTACGCTCTGAGCTTGATGGTTTTCTTGCAGATGTTTCATCACCCAAGTAGGGTAACTCATCATCAGTTCTAGAAGAGAGAGGGGTTTGTGAACCAAAGGAGGAAGAGGGCAGGGATGAGGAGGAGAAAGTTAAGAACCGTGGGGTACTTGGGCTCTCTGAGTTAACCGAGACCCCCCCCCAGGGCCCCTTTAACAAATTCTCTGTGTTTTTGTATTTGCTTTTGTTATCTTTCCCTTTAATAAGGAGAACAATTCAGAATGTCCTTTCTTTTGATTATGCAACCTATAAAAGGGATGGTGTCATTTCTCCCTTTCATTTTCTCGCCAGTGAAATCCATCCATACCCATTAGATCGCACAGGGTCGGCCTCCTCCGGGTTCCATCCACCAGCCAATGCCATCGGGCTACGCCCCGGGGGGGGGGGGCTTCTCTGTTGCAGCTCCGGCCCTTTGGAACGAACTCCCCGTAGAGATTCGGACCCTCACCTCTCTCCCTGCTTTAC